AAAAAAAAAAAAAAACGCGCTCCACACTTTGTATTATAACAAAATGGAGTTTGAAACTTCTCACCACGATAATCATTGTTCCTGATGAGTGATCTTTTGCTATTGAGCATAACTTCAATTCCCAGAGATAAAACACAGACTTAGGTAGATGTCCATCAAAAGGTGAAATTTATAGACAAAAACAAACTTTCATAGTTTGAGATAATACAGTTCAATTATTTTTTATCTTGCTGTGACGAAGATGAGTCCTAATGAAACTTACAACATTACAAACAAAATAATTTTGACCGATTCTTGGATACTTAGACATGTTCACGTTAAATACTTAATATAGAAAAGAAAAATATTAAAAAAAATGAGAGATCACCTTCAGCTGATAATTGAAGCATGCAATAAGGCTGCCCTCTGACGACTACCTCTTGCATCACTATAGAGAAACTGTACACGTCACCAGTCTGAGTTCCCCTTCTCAGCAGTGTTTCGTCTCTTAACAGTTCTGGTGCAGCCCACAGTTTATCTGGAAAAAAAGTAACAGAAATAACAGTTTAAGTAGTGATCACTTTAGAAAAGTATTTATTTATAAGTACGGTAGTTTATTAAAAGGCAATATCGTTCTTCTTGGTTATCTACACGAAACGCACAAATCACTTTTCAGGAATACTTGTTTTTCACATTTCATGAAACAACAATATTAAACACAACTTTTAACAGAATGAATTATCAAAATCTTAAATGTGTTTGTCTGAAAAGGAAATTATCATTAAGAATGATTTTCTTTATTTTGCAACGACCTTTTATAAATATATTAAATGTATCACTGGTTGAAACCAACTGACGAAAGAGAAAAAAATACGAATTATCTAGTAAAATGTGTATTATTGGTGTTTATCCTACAGATTGAATGAGCAAAATTGAAATAACCATTGATTATCTTAATCTATAATCTCGCTTATGTATCCATAAATAAATAGAATAAATATTTTTGTTACTTTCGTGCTCTGTCAATATTAGTTCCTCTGAGCTTTGTCAAAAGGTTAGAAAATTTATGGTTAGAAGTTTTTGAGTTATTTTTCAGTAATCGTAATGTATACTGAAGAATGGCTGATAATGTAAACACTAACAGTTTTATCAAGGAATCAATACACACGGTAGTGTGTTGTGCTGCCAAAACAACCTGCTGCAGGTCACATTGTGTGTTATTAACAGAAGTGACAGTTTAGCAATTTTCCACTTTCTGTAGCTCATTGGGTATGTTCTACTGAACTCTAGATTCACATACCAAATTTAAAGGCAGTCCATTAAGAAATACCTGAGATATAACATCTCCAATTTTGATTGAATTTCTTCCACTTTTTTTTTTCACACCAAATTACGGAAATTTAATTTGATACAAAAACAAACTTAACTTTTATGGATTATTTTCAAACTTTGTACACTGATAGATCTTTCCAACTTATAACTATGAGTCGCATATTGTGTAAATGTAAGCCATATGTGCAAAGTTATTCAACAAAAACTGTTCAAATTTGACGAAAATTTTATGCATGCCTACGCAAAAAGTCACATGAGCTACCGGTCTAACATTTTTACTACAGCTTCACCTAAGAGTAAAAGTGGACCGTTTTTAGTTTTTTGACATTCGGATTAAAGATGGCTGATTTATAGCAGCAAAACTATAAGGTAAAAGGACGAGCAGATGCATAATTATTGGTTCGGCCAAGAAAACTAGATTAGCAGTTTCTAGCTCAAGTTTTCAAAAGAATCATACGGGTGGACGGTTATAATTCATTGCCAACTTTTAAGCCCAGATTTACTAAATTTTATAAAATTATCCTAATTAAAGAGTGTTTAGCGTCATGCGATATTAGCTTAAGCAATTAGCATATATAATGATGTTTAATACGGCTGTACCGATTGCATGGGGCAATGACAAGAAACTGTTAATTTAAATTCCATGGCGTTACTGTAAAGGACGCTATTAACACTGGTTGGTTCTGTAAAGCAAAGATCTGATCCGAATAATAGGGTTGCAAGCCTAAGCTAATGCGGATTACTATCGAGTGCCACATCCTTACTTGCTGTGGTTTGTTTTTGTGTATTGACAAAAAGTCATGATATCTAATCAAAAACATCTTAGGTGTGAAAAGAGTGTGCGACTTAAAGGCATGAAATCAAAACTAGTAGCTACACTTATAGCATTGATAATATTTTTACAGCAAATATTCATTCACTAGTTACTTAGGCCGCATATTCTGCTTTACCCACCATCATGCCTCTAATTGAACAAAAAAGGCGGCTGGCTAACTAATGAATGAATATTTGCTGTAAAATTATTATCAATGCTATAAGTGTAGTTACTAGTTTTGATTTCATGCCTTTAAGTCGCACACTCTTTTCACACCTAAGATGTTTTTGATTAGATAACTATATAATATCAAGATAGCATAAAACCAGTAAAGGTTTAGGCTATGTTGACATGATATAGCTATCAACTGATGAAGCTTAAACAGCGAAACGCGAACAAACTTTTTTTCGTGATAGGCTGTAATTTTTATAATTTTTGAAGGTATATTGTTTTGGACTCGTAGTCTGGTGTTTACGAGCTCGAGACTAGCGTGCGTCATGGTAAAGGCACTTTACCTCAGTTGGTTCAGTCTACCCAGCTGTATGAGTAGCACCAGCTATTAGGCGAGATTAACTTGCTATGGTCTAGCATCTTGTTCAGTGGGAATGTGTGTTGCCATTGTCATCAGCTTTGTGCCAATTAAATCAGAGTTCAGTATGAGAGGGATCTGACTATTAATAACGATCATTATGAAATTACGACTGATAAAACACTGCTCAGAGGGAGCTGATTTTATTTATCTGCCTTCAGATTTGTTTGTTTGTTTGTAATTAAGCACAAAGCTACACAATGGGCTATCTATG